AAAATTAGAATATATTTAAAAATAGGCATAAAGAATTATATAATACTTATGTTTATACATAGGTCCAGAAATCTAACCATATACAACCTTGAAGCAGGACAGTCCTACAACATTCCTTTTCTTGTCTCCTGACTTCATTCACCACCCCCTTTCTTTTTGAACAGTCATCTACCCGAGAGACAGCACGGCAGCAACTGGCATGTCATGACAAGCAGCCCATAATCAGAAGACCAGAATGACAGGCACTCCAAGCATGAAACTACTATTGCAAATGACCATCTGCAGTGCAGTAGCTTAGTTCACAGGTATCAGTCTATATAGTTAGTCAGGGTGAGAATCTTTCCAGTTAACTGCTAGATTAAAGAATCTTCTGAAGATTCTGAGGACAGAGATTAACTTGTTTGAGTTCACACAATTACTAATGATTGGGGCTGATGTAGTCTAAAACATTTCCTTAGAGGTATTTGGTGATTTTATTTTTATTTTTGTTGTTATTTGACTCACTTTGGGATATAGTTTTATGAGTTTTAGCACATAGATAGATTTATGTAACAACCATCCTGATTCAATACAAAATTGTTTTTTTTTTAATGAGCAGAATATATTTATTGAGAGAAAGAAAGCTCCTGTACAAGAGAGGGACAGGAGGGGGGGCCCAAGTGGGTAGATCCCCCCACAAAATTGTTTATTGCCTCAAAATACTGTCCTATGGTGCCCCTTTGACGATAAGCATTCCTCTTGCTGCTAACTCATGCAACCATTGACATAATTTTGCATCCCTATAGCTTTGCCTTTTCCAGAATGTCACATAACAGAATATATATATCTCCCTTTCAGTCTGTATCTTTCTTTCATTCATAAATATAACTTCTTGATTCATCCATGTTTTGTATATCCATGTCCTTCGATTTGTTGATTCTTTCTCTAGTCCCTCTGCTACTGAAAGACTCTCAAGTGCATAGACTAGTCGACAAAATAAATAAAGTTGACACATTATCTGACTAAAAATTAAGTTGTGAAATAGTCCTAATAATATACCTAGAAAGTAACCTCAAAATTAGAAATTCAACAACATACCTCTAAACAGTCAATGAGTCAAGTGAAAAATAACAATGAAAATGGGTAAATTATTTTAAATTGAGTGATAATGAAAATAAATTCAAATTGATAGGATTCTTAGAGGAAATTTGTTATGCCTGTCTGTGTAAAAATATCTTACAAGAGAAGAAAATTCTACAAAGTAAATAATAAGGTTACAGCGCATAAATTCAAGACGTAAAATTAATAATTTCTGTATACTAGTAGTGAAGAATTGAAAATCAGTAATTCCTTAAATGAAAAATTGTGAAATTTACTAAAAGGAATGTAAGCTTTTTTTCTTAAAAAGAACATTTTTACAATGGGAAAAAGCAGCCTAAATAAGTGGAGAGATATACAGTAATTGAGGATTGAAAGACTTATTAATAGTAAAGAATCAACTGCTCTCAAAATAATGAGTAGATTTATCACAGGCCAAAGCCAAATCAAAATACTTTAAGGAATTTATTTT